GGACCAGGTGACTCAAGGCCACACATTTGTTCATCCAGCCACCTCCTTGTTTTGCAGCTGGCACTTGTGGCGGTGGCATTGCACCAGGGCTAGCAGCAGTGCTTGAGCTGCTAGGTCCACTTGGTGGAGGGCCAGGAGGAGGTGGCAGTGGCTCCAGCTTGGGCACTTTGCTGCTGGGAGCCAGAGCTGGTGGTGTCACTCTTTTTCTGCTTGGTGCCACTTTCTTTACCTCCATTTCCTTTTTCTCCTCATCCATTTCCTTTTTCTCCTCCTCCATTTCCTTTTTCACCTCCTTCATTAACTTTTTCACCTCCTCCACTACATTTTTCTGCACCTTCTCCTCCTTCACCCACTCCCACTCTTCCTCCACCTCCTGCATCCTTGAGGCGTACCAGTTCTGCTCCATCTCATTGGGGTCCACCACAGTCTCATTTCCAAACATTGTTGGAGCTTCAGTGGCTGCATCATCACCCTCTTCATTATCACCACATTCAGTTGGAGAAGAGGGCCTGAGTTGGCAAGGAATCATACTTAAACAAAAAGGATTTGATTGCAGTAACCCTGTGGGCCACATAGCATTGGAGGATGACCAAACAACAAATGCAATCAAGTCATATGAGATGGTGCAAACATATGGAAACAAAAGAATTTAAAGAAAAACAACTTGATGCAATATCCAAGTTGCTCCATGGGCCTGGCTGGCAGTCCCAGCAGTGGCCAAGGTGACGTTTCCAAGTCACTTGGGTCCAGCTCAGGGTTCACCACCACTGTATCCTTCACATTTTGATCCTGAGCCTCAGTTGGGCTCTGAGCAGGGTTGGTCTGCACCTCTTCATGGGAAGCCATTGCTTCGGCAAAAGGTGTCAGCATTCCTATGCTGACAGCACCTACCAGTAGACTTGTCACTATTGGTACATGTATATAAATATACAGTTGTTTATTTTGCATTATCAATGTTGTGAAAGTATGACACTCAAGTACATATGCTTGGCACTTGAAAGTAACATGTTTCCCCTTTAGGTGGTTTGCATCTCTATATGGCCAGTATGTGGTAGATACATTTTAGTGAGTGGTACAAGCAATTAGGCATTTACTCTTGCCTCTCTTGAGAATCAAAATATAACAACAAGAAAATATTACAGCATTTGTGTAGTATGATGTATGTAAGAGAATGGCAGTGGAGTATAAAACAGCCATGAAGGCTTGAAAGCCCAACTGGGCTTGACATCATATTGCCATTAAGGCTTGCAAGCCCTTTTGGGCTTAAACTCACATAGCCATTGAGGCTTGAAAGCTTTATTGAGCTTGGATTCAAATAGCCATTAAGGCTTGAAAATCATACTGAGCTATATGTGTTTTCTAAATTTGTTTTGTATTAAGGGTTTTAATGAAAATTAAAGCCAACTACTAAGTAAACAAACAAGAAACGTAAATACAGTTAAAAAAACATATTTTTAAAAAAAAACAAATTTGAATAGTTTTTGCGATGCAAAATTTAGATTCAGAATCTGAATCTAAAATCTTTTGGAAAGATTTTAGATTCAGAATCTGAATTTACATACTTTTGGAAACATTTTGGATTTATATTTTGAATGTTTGTTTTAACAAAAAATATTAGTTTGAAATTACTTGTTTTTTACATGTAAACAATATCAAAATTCAGAAAACTGAAGTTTATGAAATAATTACTTTGTAATTTGATTGTGAATAAATATATTTTGAACAATGTTCTTTTAACCAATACAGGCTAACATTTGTGAGTACCAAACCATAAGTTTACACACATTTTTGCTATACATATATATATAATTTGTTTATATATTGTTTTGTTTTATCTTTGACATTTGGACCAATATATATATGAAACATTTCCTGTGCCAATTGCTTGGTCAGCAAATATCAGCATACCATGTTACTTTGCAATATAAAAAATATTTGAAATTACTTTTCACACATAAACAAACATTGACTCTGATTTCAAAGAGCTGCACAAAGCTTGCCTCAAATACACATGTCAAAAAGAGCTTGCAAATTAACACAGCAAACTACATAAACCCACACATACATAGCCACTAGGGTTCCTCATGCAACTGGCAGCAACCAAAAACCTTGCACAGCATTCATATTTTTAAGTTTTTTGGATGCATTTGGTACTTTAAGCATTTGTTTTTGCATAATTGTTAGAATTCAAACAGTACTGCAACTACTTTTTTATGAATTGTTTCACTTGGCCAAATCATTTTTTTTGAAATCATTCCACATTGAAGATCATCATGATCATTACTAGTCTAGGGTGGCACAGTAATTAATGGATCATATGTTATTTCCTAATGATCATATAGACTGCATTCCTTGTCTTTGATGTTTTTGTCTAGCCCAACTTCATGACATTTCCTTCTGTTGCACTTTTTGTTCACCTACAACTTGTAACTTTTTGATTTTTTTACCACTGGATAGAAGAGTATAGTTCAGTGCCAAGCAAACTTTTGAAAGCTATGAGCACTACTGGTTTGACCCTGATAAATAGGTAATGAAACCTTGAAAAAATTAGGACAGCAATTCATGCTTGAGAAACATAAATTTGAAAGCCACTGGAGCTTGAAGGCAAGAATGACTTGAACAAAAAAAAACAATGAGGCTGGAAAGCCACAAGAGCCACTGGGGCCTGACAGCCACAAGGGCTTGAATCAAAACAGCAATCAACAGCCATGTAGGCTTGAACACTTTAAAGTAGCCACTGGGGCTTGCAGAAACACTGAGTGCCAATCAGCTGCTGCTTTTTCACACCTCATTCAAAATAAGGTCGTTGTTGGAATCTGTTTGGTGAAAAATGCATTGTCACTATGGGACCTACCCAGTCCTTGGCCAGCAGAGCCACTTCAGTGTCTTCTTTCCTTAGGTGCAGCTAGCTTACATAAAAAACAGTGATGATCCCACAAGCAAACAACAAAAACATTTGTGCCACATTCAAGCATGCAAGCATGGACAATGATATCCAGCATGCAGCCCAGACACCAGGACTGCCAGCCACAGTCAAATTGGCACACTCTCCACCTCTTCCCATTTCTCCACATCCAGCCACTGAACAGCACATTGGTGTAGTAATGGTCACTCCAGATCCTGAGATGCATTGCTGACACAAACATTCAATGCACATGTTCTGATATTTTGTTTCATTTGGATAACCAGAAGCCATGCTATGGGAAAAAAAACTGAACCAATATACAAGTTTCCATTTTTCAGTACCATCATTGAAGAGCAACACAGTGTGATCTCGAAGATGCTGCACATCACTGATGCTCAGTGGTCTTGCCATTGCCTTTTCAATACACTTCAGTCAATACACTTGGTGTTCAGTCAGTCATTTCCTTGAGCAAAAAAAAGCAAAGGTTCTTTCTTTCCAAACCCAGTTTGAAAAAAAAAACATATCACAGTGGACCATTGGACCATTGGATGTCTATGGTGAACTCCTTGGGAAACATATTTCCACACATTGACTCAAAAGAACTTCTGGATTTTGAACAAAAAGAAGTATGCACTAAATTTAATAAACAAACCTAAGCTTGGAAGAAGAAAGCCACTGGGGCTTGAAAGCCACTGGGGCTTGAAGGCCACTAGGGCTTCAAAGCCACTGGGGCTTGAAAACACTGTGGGTTTCAAAGTCATTTGGATTTTCACCAAAGCCATTTGGCTTGCAGGATATTCAGCTTTCAGAAAAGACAATGAAAGGCTTGAAAGCCATTGAGGCTGTAGAACCATAGAAAGACAATGTGAAGTGGGAAGCCCAATGAGCTTGGAAGCCTGAAAGGCTTTGAATTTGCAAGCTACAAAGGCTTTGAAGCCCTTTGAGGCTTGGAAGGCAAAGACATGGGTAAATTTGACATGGCTGAGGTACAAGCCAAAGATATGACCAGAAAGTGAAACAATTCAGCAACCAATAAGTGACCACAACAAAACCATTTTGGGATTCAACAGCAGCATGCATCTTTTTTCAGGTGCTCACAGCATGCCATTGGTATGTCATTGCTGTTTCGCCCTGGCCTTATACAGCCTTTTCTCTGCATTGAGGCACTTTTCCACATCCAGTGCAAGCTTGCCAAAAACACAGTCCAATTGGTCAGGCTCCATGCAGACCAAAAGGTCTGATCTTGCAGGTCGTTTCCCTTGCAGAAGCACTTCTATCAATGTATCATCTACATTGAATTCCACTGTGTAGTCTCCAGGTGGAACCTTTCTTTTTTTAGAAGCTGGCTGTGCATTGTCCTCATCAGATCCAGCTCCACTCTCAGCAGCAGCATCATGTTCCTGCTCTGCATCAGCTTGACCATATGCCTTTTTCACAGCAGCTTCATTCCTCATGGCCACCAGCTTGGCCAGTTCAGGGCTAGTTGCAAAGCTAGCATTCTTGCTGGCAGTACCTTTGCTCAGCAATGACACCAAGCTGTAACATGTTGGCCTCAGTCTCAAATAGGATTTGCCTTCAAAGGTTTCAATCATAGAAGCAGGAAAGGAGACCCACTTGTCATCTTTCCATTTCACATCCCAAGTTTGCCTCAGCTCTGCCATTGGTGCCACAGACCTACACTCTGTACCTTTATAGCCAAACTGCAGGCCAAAACTTTTGTGTTCCACATTGCAAGCACACAAGCCAAATTCAGTCACAACTTTGCAACAAAAGTCATGAAAGCCATTACAGCTTGAAAGCCAGTGAAATCTGAAAGCCAATACAGCTTGAAAGCCAGAAAGACTTGAAAGCCAATAGAGCGTGAAAGCCAGGGAGACTTGAAAGCCAATAGAGCTTGAAAGCCTGGAAGGCTTGAAAGCCAAAGAGCTTGGTACCATGCAGCTGGAGAAGAGAAGCAAATAGCATTCAATGCTTGCCATGTAGATAGGTATAAGCATCAAGAATCAAGAACAGTGCTTGGAAAGCAAAGCATGCAATTCGTTTTCCACTCCAGCAAGGCAAAAGTAGGTGGCTTGAACACAGAAACCCAATTCACTCACTTGGTGGTCTTCCTTTTTTTGGCTTGGGGTGCAGAGCCAGAGGCAGCAGCTTCCTGATTTTCTTCAGATGGCTTCAGAACCACCAATTGCTCACCAGCCTTCAATGCTTTGGCATTGGTCAAGAGAGGCAATTGAACCTTGTCAATGACCTGGGTGCTTGCAACCATAGTGACTTCATCAGGATCACTGCTGCTCTTCACCCAGAAAAAAGGATCCATCACTCCTTTCTCCTCATCAAAATCATTGGCCCTGGCAAAGGAGGCAATGGCAAAGTGCTGACCATTGTACAAGGCAGTCAGCTTTCCTTTAGGACTTTGCTTCAATTTGCTGACAGTGCCTGCTGGATACAACTTCAATTCTCCCTTTTTCAAATTCTTTGCAGCCCAAGCACCAGTTGGATTTTGGGTGAACAGCAAAGTCTGATTGTCCATTGTATGTTGTTGGCATGTTTCCAGCAGCACTTTCTGCACTGTGCACTTGGCCATTTCATCTTGCAAGGCCACACTGTTATGCACAAGCAACTTCTGCAGCATGTCTTTGGAGCAAGCAGTTGGGGCTCCACCTTTGTGTTTCTTCCATTTGCTCAACTCTTCGAAAGCAACTTTCAACTCCTCCTTGGGGCCAAAAAAAGGGGAATGGACAAAGGTGAAGCCATCATCTTCACATTTCACCAGCTCAAACACTTTGGAGGATCCCACCTTCATGTTGGAGTACCTCAGCAGGCAAATGTGAAAGCCAAGCAACATCCAAAACCTTGCACAAACATTTGGAAATGTTGGTGAACCATTTTTGACCAAGTGGAACAAAAGTTGCTTCAGCTTCAAGACAAGACCAAGATGCAGCTTGCCAATTTGCAGGTGGTCATGCTGCAGCAAAGCCACTTCAAAAGGCTTAGCACCCACCAAATTCTCTAATTTCAAGATCTCTTCCTTCTTGCCTTGACCACTTTCAGCGGATGCAGTCTTTTTTTGCAAATCATCTGCAAAAGCATCAGCTATTTCATTGAAGCCACCCTTGAAAGCAGCTTCCCTACCATATTTTCTTTCCCCAAGAGATGCAAAATGCATCTCACACAAAGCTTGCCAAAACTGGCAACTTTGACATGTTCAGTGGCTGCAGATTTTGTTGCCAAGTTCCAGCTGTCTTGCAAAAGTTGCCTGACACATGTCAAAGACACAAAGAAATGCATGGCCCTATGTGCAGCGCTAAACAAAACAAGAAAATGCTCAATGAAAACCAAAGTGCTCACAGTGGTCCACATTCTTTCTCTTCTGCAAATTTTTGAGCTTGTCACAATCAGCTTTGTTCAATATCTTGGAGTACCCATCCTGGCTCTTTGAAGAACTCATCATTGTAGCCCACCTGTGATAAAGGCATTTCCAAAAATATCACTGCCTTGTACCAGTCTTGATTGAATCAAACCAAACCAAATCAAATCAAATTAGCTATAAGCCATTTAAGGCAAGGAACATTGCAGTCCTCAGAAAAGGGTACATGCAGATGGAATCCTTCATGTCCATGTAGGCAATGGTGGTCATCATTTCAAGACCCAGTTGCAAGCTGCCATATGTCTTACCTCAATGTGCATGGCCCCATGATGAAAAGCTTTTCCATAGCCCATGAACAGGCTTGCAAGAAAAAAAGCACAACAGGCTTGCATATGCACAACAAAGCAAAAATGCTTGCAAGAAACAGCTACTGAAGCTTGCAAAAGCAGCCACTTGGGCTTGCAAAGCTATGTTTTGGCCAAGGTACTGAACTGGCTCAGAAATTTCAGTAGACTTTGTTGGCCACCTCCACCATACCTGCTGACATAGTAGGCAATGGCATGCAATTGAGGCTTGCACAGAGGATCAGTCTTCTCCACTTGGGCCAGGGCTTCATTCAAGGTCTTCCCATGTTTGATGAATTCAGCCATCAAAGCAGCAGCCTCAATTTCATTGACCTGCTTGAAGCCCATGTTCACTGAATTCATGGCCATTTGCAACCAAGCAGGCAAAGAAGGAATGCTCCTTTCCACAATTTCACTGATCACAAACATAGGCCAACCTTCAGTGATTATCTTGTGCAAACCATCATCTGATTTCATCTCCACTGACATTCCATCAGCACTCTTGCAACCTTGCTCCACTGCTTTGCAGAAAGCAGCAGTGTGGGAAGTGGCCACAGTGAGGTACCGCTCCTCCATTGACACTTTTGCAAGGGCACCATTGGAGCCAGCTACCACTTCCTCATTGGCTTTCAGCTGACTCTGCTTGGTAGTCTGGTCAGTGCTGATTTCAAAAGCCACTCCTCCTTCTTGCAGCATGGAAGGTTGGATTCCAATTCCAACCATTCTCATTCCCTTGTCCCAGACATCAGTTGCATTCAGAAGGCTGCCACCTCTGTTACTGGGATGGGTCAGTGTTTCTCTGGGCTTCACCATAGCTTTGTGCCCAAACCCATTCTTTTGAAGGCATTCAAAAACTTGCTGCACCCTTTTCAAAACTGGCACATCCTCATTGCTTACCAATTTGTTCAACTTGTCCACCAAGTCTTCGGGCATAGAGCTCATAGCTGCAAAGCTCACAATTTGAAGACTTTGTAGGCCAATGCAGCAATGCTTGTATGTTTTGCTTGGCTTTAGCAAAATGCTATAGTTTGTTTGGGCTGTCAAAGATTGCCTTATCAAACCATTATGCCAACAGTGAGCCATAACATTCTAGATGTAAAGGATGATGAATTCACCCCACATATTCAAATGCCATTGTTTTGAAGGTTGGTTCAAATAAAAACGCAAAAGGCTTGCAACATCTAAAAGCCAACTATAGGCTTGCACAAAAAAGCCAGCCAGGGCTTGCATCACAAAGCCTGCCAAGGCTTGCATCAAAAAAAGCCAAAGGCTAGTATTAAGAAAAGCCAAGAAAGGCTTGCACGCAAGGTATGCTGCCATGATGTATACATCATTACTTCCTGTTTTTTGGCAAGCCATGTGCAACCATGCATGTTTAGCAATGGGCTTGGCTTTGATTTGCCATCAATAAACTCAAATAAAGAACCAAGCCCAGGCATGTTTTTATTTTCAGCAGCTCAGCAAATATTTAAATCCCCAAGCAAGGAAAAATCATCAAGCTTTTCTCTTTGTTTTAAAAAAAGTAGGTATGCCAAACAGCCAAAATTTGTTGTTGTGTTTTGAATTTGCTACCAAGAAGCATGTGAATCACTGGCTTGCATCATTTTTCCCAACACAGGCACAAGAAAAAAAAACTTTGGCAATTAAACGAAAAACCATATAGCCCTTCAAAAAAAAAGTTAACCCCTTAGCCTTGGAAAGCTAAGTGCCTGTGTTTTCTTAGCTAACTACTTAGCTTTGGCTGATGGAATTTAACATAGTTAGCTAACTTTTTTGCTCCTCTACCTAACCTTGCTAAATGCCTCAGGCCTTTAGCACATATTTAACATATTTCTAACATAGCTTTAGCATATATCTATTAGTAACTTATTAACCTTGATAACCTTGTTAAGTACCTAGCAGGCACAGGGTTCTTCTAAGTACTGAAAACCCACAAAATTGCTGAGCAGGTATTTGGCTCAGGGCCACCAGGGCCACTACTGTCACTAACTGTCTTGAGTTGCAACCAATTTAGAGGCCAATGCAACTCATCTTGCAACATCTTGCTACCAGTTTAGGGGGCAAATAGCACTCTCCAAGCGTCTCAAGATTTGTTTCCAGCTACTGTGCCGGTTTGAGGAGTGAAACAGTGTTCGGCGCAGCCAAACTGAGGCTTTCTGGTTGTGTCGCAAGGATTCCACAGGGATGGGGCAGCATGACCCTGATCAACCAACAGGGTTTTGATGGGTTTTGCCTACAACTACTAACTAGGAGCACGGCCTCTAGGAGGCCGTGGGTTTTTTGTGATCAACGGGGTGTCATGGATCATATATGATGTGCTCGTGCAAATAGGAATTTGTTTGATGTGATATTTAAGGCCGTTAACCCCTTATTCTGGTGCAGTTTTTCAAAACAGGCATTTCGCCTAGACGAAACTAGCATTTTTGGGTTTTTTGCCGATTCTGAAACTAATTCGACGTGACATGTTTTGCGTCATCTTTTGACGCACGAATGGAAAGTTCAAGATTTTCAAAAACAGGCATTTCGCCTAGACGAAACCAGCATTTTTGGTTTTTTGGCCGATTCTGAAGCTAATTCGATGTGGCATGTTTTGCGTCATCTTCTGACGCACGAATGGAAAGTTCAAGCGCACCTACAGTAGCGTAGCATGACGCATGAGTGGAAACTTCAAGAGAACCTACAAGCGTAGCATGACGCATGCATGGAAAGTTCAAGAGATCTTACAGTAGAGTAGCATGACGCATGCATGGAAAGTTCAAGAGATCTGACAGTAGAGTAGCATGACGTATGCATGGAGAGTTCAAGAGAACTTACAGTAGCGTAGCATGAGGCATGAGTGGAAAGTTCAAGAGAACTTACAGTAGCGTAGCATGACGTATGCATGGAAAGTTCAAGAGATCTTACAGTAGCGTAGCATGACGTATGCATGGAAAGTTCAAGAAAACCTACAGTAGCGTAGCATGACGCATGAATGGAAAGTTCAAGAGTACTTACAGTAGCGTAGCATGACGCATGAATGGAAAGTTCAAGAGCACCTACAGTAGCGTAGCATGACGCATAAATGGAAAGTTCAAGAGAACTTACAGTAGCGTAGCATGACGCATGAATGGAAAGTTCAAGAGTACTTACAGTAGCGTAGCATGACGCATAAATGGAAAGTTCAAGAGAACTTACAGTAGCGTAGCATGACATATGCATGGAAAGTTCAAGAGAACTTATAGTAGCCTAGCATGATGCATGAGTGGAAAGTTCAAGAGAACTTAAAGTAGCGTAGCATGACGTACGCATGGAAGGTTCAAAAAACTTACAGTAGCGTAGCATGACGCATGAGTGGAAAGTTCAAGAGAACTTACAGGTCAAGAGAACTTACAGTAGCGTAGCATGACATATGCGTGGAAAGTTCAAGAGAACTTTCAGTAGCGTGGTATTAGGCATGAGTGGAAAGTTCAAGAGAACTTACAGTAGCTTAGCATGACGCATGAATGGAAAGTTCAAGAGAACTTACAGTAGCGTAGCATGACGTATGCGTGGAAAGTTCAAGAGAAATTTCAGTAGCGTGGCAAAAAAAGAATAACAACATATATAAAAGTCCACTGATCTTGGTTGGACATGACATGTGCAATGCACTTCATATTCAACAAAACTGGACTTTGAAAGTCATGTATGCGTTCTTGATAAAATAATAACAATAAATAAGTAAGGAACAGTTGCATAGTTCTGAGTTATCATGATACTGATAATGTAAATATAAATCAATATATATATATATATTGACTAGCACTAAAAAAATATAGTATAATATAATACAATATCATATATTTAAAAATATGATATAAAATAGTATGATATTATTTATTTTAATATGATATAATACAATATGATAAAATAAAATAGAATATAATACAATATAAAAAATATTATACAATATAATATAATATAATATAATGTAATATAATATAATGTAGTATAATATAATATAGTATAATATAGTAAATAATAATATATTATGATATAATATATAATATAATAAAATATAATAATATAATATAATATATGAAAACATATTATGCTACAATAAAATAATATACAATATATTTCATAATAAAATTAAAAAAATAATATAAGATCCAATATAATATAAAATATTATAATAGAGCATAGTATAATATAATATGGTAAAATATCATCTGATACAATATAATATAATATCATAGGTAAAATATGTTTATACATAATATGTTTTAGTTATAATGCAATATAAAATAATGCAATATAAAATAATGCAATATAAAATAATGCAATATAACATACCGGTAACATCATGGGATGTCATACAGAATGATATGGTTTTGTGATGTGTTGTGTGTTATAGAAAAATATTTCATAATGTAGCATAATGCAACTTAATGTCAAATTATATAAATAACACGGTATAGTATTATATGTGTAGCCTTACCGGGGATATTATTACTTTATTTACACATCCATTTAACAACTACCCATCTCAACCCAAATCAATGCGGCCTTTTTGTGGGTTTCTGGCTAGGCATTTTCGCGACCCACAAAACCTGGACCTCGCTTGCCTTTGGTGGAGGATAGATGATAAGACAGGAACCCTTGCGTACCCAGTTTGGTGTATTGTTTGGGTGGTTCAAACGCAACTTTTCGCTGAAAACTCCAACCGTGGTAGAAAAGTTTCACCCGAAAAGTTGAAAAGTTCGAAAAGTTCGAAAAATTCGAAAAGTCGAAAAGTTCAGATTCCAGGAGGTTTCTGCTCGAAAAGTCGAAAATTCGAAAAATTCGAAAAGTTGAAAAGTCGAAAAGTTCGAAAAGTTCGAAAAATTCGAAAAGTCGAAAAGTCGAAAAGTTCACATTCCAGGAGATTTCTGCTTGAAAAGTCGAAAAAATCGAAAAATTCGAAAAGTCGAAAACTTTTTGACTTTTTGACTTTTTGCGAAAAGTTTTGCAAATTTTCGCGCTGTGCGATTACCGGCGAGAAGAGCACTTAGCTGGATAAGGGGGGAGCTCCAGCTGCCACTCCTGCGACCACTGAACTGTTGGCAGAAGCCACTCAGTTGCTGAAGTCTCTGCGTATGCCAAACCTGAAAGTGATGCGACTGTCAAATCTGCAGCCTCATGCTCAAATGGTGTTGCTGGACTCTGGTGCAACACATGGCCTACGTCCTGCAGCTTCAGAAGAAGAATGGCAGTCAGGCACAAGAACTCAGGTGATGTTGGCTGATGGTGTCACAGAAAGCCTCCGTTTGAAGCCTGGCACCAAAGTTTTGCTTTCCGATCCTCTCCTTCGGCCTGAAAATACCTCTTGGATCGTTCCTATGGGATGCTTGAACGAGCTCAACTACAAGTTGGTGTGGAAAGACCACGTGTGCCATCTCTACACAAAAGCTGGAGACAAGGTCGATGTGGAACTTCACAATGGATGTCCCTACGTTGCTCATGAATTTGGAGCGAAGCTGCTGACGGTGTTGGAACAGCATCAAATTCAACAAGAGCTGAAAAAGATGACCTTGAAGTCCATCTTGACAAGAGGTGCTGCCGGTCTGGGCAACAACATGAGCATTGAAATGGCGATGCTTGTCAAGCTCAAGGAGGTCATGCCGACTTTGCCTGAAGATTCGGCGTTGAAGCTGGTCCCAGATCTCTCAGTGCTCACGGACCCCAACATCGGCTTGAACCTTCCATGGAATCGCAGAAAGTGAAAAAGACTCATGATGGCAAAGAATGTGATCATCCACATGTACAGTGGACCTGATGCTTCTTACTGGGAGCGGCGTTTGTCAAATGAGCACACTGAGGTGCTGTGCGTGGACTTGGAAGCCTCAACACCTTCAAATGTTTTGGATGAAACAACCTTTGCGTTTTTGCTTTCTTTGTGCGCCGGCAAACGTGTCAAAGCTCTCCTTGGTGGCCCTCCATGCAGA